CAATGTCACGATGAACATATTTCACAAACCGGTCAAACTCGAAGGGGGAAGAGTCGATTAGTGTGGAGGAACGCAATTTTATCTAGTTAGCTGGACACTGACTGAGCACTTTTAAAATTAGTATGTAGGATTAGGCAATGATTAGGCACTTGCTAGGCACCAAAACGGTGTAAATCATCCCTCTACCACTCCTTATCTTGTACATTGGTCCATTGGTTACGTTATGATTTGGGGGCCGGTCGGTTTAGTAGGGCAGGGGGAGGGGGAAACCAAGATAAAAGGGTCCCATACCTAATTATTCGGCCTGATTGTGTGCATCAGTTTACATGTCACGTGAACAAAACACAAGGGACAATTTTTTCAGCCTTGATTCACGTTAACGTGAACCAAGATAAAAGGGTCCCATACTTTATCACTTAGCCTGATTGTGTGCATCAATTCTCGGGTCACGTAAACAAAACCAAGGGAGTATTTTTTTTCGGCTTTGATTCACGTTCACATGATATGGGAGGTCGGTTGAGTAGGGGGTGAACTAAAATGAAAGAGTGCCATACTTTATTACTTAGCCTGATTTTGTGCATCAGTTCGTGGGTCACGTAAACAAAACACATAGTGCTATTGGGTGACAAAATTCACCCGGATGGGTGACAAAATTCAGCAACCAAAAGCGATGTTTAGAACATCAAAGGTATAACACCTATAAAGGTAGCTTTACACAACTCTTGGCAACATTTGACGACCTACTCATCGTATGAAGCATAAGAAAAGCTACTCTACGGGTTTAGATCATATATAAAAGGCATATAAAGTAAAAAATAGCCTGTACCAACAGTCCGAGGAGTGTCAGAAAGATCTCCTCCTTTCAATTAAAATCCGAATTTTTTTACCTATTAGGACTAGCAGGAGAATGGCAGTTCTTCGATCCATCAGGCAACGACCTCAGCGCTCAAAGTCTGAACATTTTCTTTATCATCTAATTTCACTAGTGGTGTGATTATCACTAGGATTATTAAAAGATCACCAACAAACTGAATTGCCAATGTACAAAACCGTCAACATTAATATATTTCAAGAACCTTTTTTTAATCCCATTTACGGAAAACACAATTCAAACTGAACGCAACCAATTAATCAAAGGTGACAAAACAGATAGTTTATGCAGCTTACATGTAAATGCAAACAAAACAAAAACCAAACGAAACTTAACAACACTCAGACTCGAGCATTTGACAATTTTGTGAGTCTTCTACAGCAACATGCCTCATATGGTTTTCATAATGTTGAAGAAGAAGAGATTCACTACTCATCCCCTCTTGACAGATGGTCTGTAACAGGGTCCTGTTAGTCAATCCTGCCCTCTTAACCTTACAATGTAAACTCTTAAAAAGACCCTTGTTACTATCACATTTATGTGACATTTTTTTGCTGTGGACTTTGAGTGACTCTTAAAGTGTCCTGATTGACAAAACCACTAGTTTACATTCATAAGCCTTTTCCCCAGTGTGAGCACTTTCATGTCTCTTTAGGTCTCCTGATTGGCTAAAACACTTGCCACACTGTTTACATTCAAATGGCTTCTCCCCAGTGTGAACTCTTTCATGAATCTTTAGCTTTCCTGCTTCGCTAAAACACTTGCCACACTGTTTACATTTATATGGCTTTTCCCCAGTGTGAACTCTTTCATGTCTCCTTAGGTCTCCTGATCGGCTGAAACACTTGCCACACTGTTTACATTCAAATGGCTTTTCCCCAGTGTGAACTCTTTCATGAATTTTTAGCCTTCCTGCTACACCAAAACACTTACCACACTGTTTACATTCAAATGGTTTTTCCCCAGTGTGAACTCTTTCATGAACCTTTAGCTTTCCTGCTTCACTAAAACACTTGCCACACTGTTGACATTCATAAGGCTTTTCCCCAGTGTGAACTCTTTCATGACTCCTTAGTTTTCCTGCTTCGCTAAAACACTTGCCACACTGTTGACATTCATAAGGCTTTTCCCCAGTGTGAACTCTTTCATGTCTTCTCAGGTCTCCTGACCGGCTAAAACACTTGCCACACTGTTTACATTCATATGGCTTTTCCCCAGTGTGAACTCTTTCATGACTCCTTAGTTTTCCTGCTGCGATAAAACACTTGCCACAATGTTTACATTCAAATGGCTTTTCCCCAGTGTGGACTCTTTCATGAATCCTTAGCTTTCTTGCTTCGCTAAAACACTTGTCACACTGTTTACATTTGTATGGCTTTTCCCCAGTGTGAACTCTTTCATGTCTCTTCAGTTGAGCTGCTTGGCTAAAACATTTGTGACACTGTTTACATTCATAAGGCTTTTCCCCAGTGTGAACTCTTTCATGTCTCCTTAGGTCTTTTGATCGGCTAAAACACTTGCCACATTGTTTACATTGATGAGGCTTTACCCCGGTGTGAACTGTTTCGTGAATCCTTAGGCCTACCGCATCGCTTAAACACTTGCCACACTGTTTACATTCATAAGGCTTTTCCCCCGTGTGAATTCTTTCATGACATGTTAGACTTCCTTTTTGGCTAAAACACTTGTCACACTGTTTACATTTATATGGTTTTTCTCCACTGTGAACTCTTTCATGGATCCTAAGGCTTCCAACATGGCTAAAACACTTGCCACACTGTTTACATTTATATGGCCTTTCCCCAGTGTGAATTCTTTCATGACATGTTAGACTTCCTTTTTGGCTAAAACACTTGCCACACTGTTTACATTTATAGGGCTTTTCCCCAGTGTGAACTCTTTCATGATTCCTTAGGTGAACTGCTTGGCTAAAACACTTGTGACACTGTTTACATTCATAAGGCTTTTCCCCAGTGTGAACTCTTTCATGAGTTTTTAAGCTTCCTGCTTGGCTAAAATACTTTCCACACTGTTTACACTTTAAAGACATGGAGTATGGAGTGTCACTTCCATTGCAACCCCTTCAAAAGAAAATAAAATCATTACCGTAAATAACTTTGTTAATGTGTTATGTTAGAAACTGTATTCTGGTTTGCAAACGTAAAGTAATCATGGACACCTACTAACTGCCAAAGTAGTTATAACAATAAAGTACCTTAGAAAGTATTTAAAGTTGTTATTTTATAGTTTTATTTATTTATTTCATAAGAGTAATGAGGCTATTTAGAAATGTTTTTACCATGCCCAAAAGACAAAATAAAATTTGTCATCATCCTGTATGTTAGGAAAGTTGCTAAAAATACTTATGGGTTCATTGACTCTATTCTCCCCCTACCTAGAGCCTCGGAAATGGCATTTTCAGTGCTCTTTTGAGATATTTCTTTAAAAAAGGCAACCTGGATAAAGTGTAAAATGAGAGGTACTGCCATTCTCTAGAAATATCATGAAGATTTTGTTAACTTGAGGCATATTTCTCGGCCCTCCATATATCCTGCTGTTAGAATACTGGCCTGCCTGATTGCTTTCTTCAGAAAATTGGGCTTGCTAAGACCCCAAGCCAACACCCCCCCCCCACCCCCCCCCCCCCCCCCCCCCCCCCCCCCCCCCCCCACAAAAAAAAACCAAACAAATCATATTTACTCACCCACCCCAATTTTTTTTTTTTTTTCTAAAACGTTGGTTATGATTTTGAGGAGTTTATTTGTGTGTTTAGTAATTTATTTTAAAAAAGGCAACCCTGAAAAAAGGGTAAAAGGGGGGGTCCTGCCATTCCCAGAAAATTACAGAAAGTTTTTGTTAATTTGGGGCATTTTTCCGGGCCCCCCATTTTCCCTGCTGTTAAAAAACTGGCCTCCCTGTTTGCTTTTTTAAAAAAATGGGGTTTCCAAAACCCCCACCCCACACCCCCCCCCCCCCCCCCCCCCCCGCCTGATCCACCATCCCTGGGCAAATAATTGAAACTAAATTCAGTGTTTAGGACTTCACTACAATGTTTTTTTTCGACTTAAAACGTGGTTCAGGTTATCAAGGGTAAAGTTTGGCTGAATTATAAGCTTCTTAAAATGGTCTGCGAGAAATAAAAATTACTTGAGTTAGGGGGAGGTTCAAGTTACCAAGGGTAAAATTACTGTAAACATATGACAGAAATCCAAGGGAAATTGATTCTAATTCAAGTTAGCGAGGGTTCGAGATCAGGAGTCAACTGTCACAATAGACCTTTTCATGGTTTTGGAAGCAATCTTGACGTCTAAGCAACCGCGTGAGAAATATGTGGGAAATCTAAAGCAAGCGTCTGGAGAAATTTAAGCACAGGTACGGTCCAAAAAAAAATGTCAGTACAATCCTTCGCTGTGTAGCTTTAGTTAACCACTCATACTTTTTTCAAAACAGCCGTTTGACGGAAATTATTTGACATACGATTCTCATTTCTCAAGCGCCAAGATGGCTTCCAACCCATGACAAGGTCTACAACTTCTCCGCCATTTATGCAGTGACAATCCTGTCACTTAAGTCATTCTGAGGAGCAAATCTTATGTTCTAAAAAACTTTTCTTACCTTGGATTTTAGGTTTCGACGTTGTGGATCAAACAAAAAGAACTGTGATCTTGAGCGTCTATTTTGAACAGCGTTTTAACAATGTCTCGTACATGACGTACCTACCCAAGAAGTCGTACTCAGTCTGGCTCGGTCGGTACATCACATCTCCATTCAAATGCAATCAAATCTCCATTTGTCCATTCGGACAAAACTTTCAACGCGACTAACCTGGCATTACTTGCTAGTCCAGTCTATGTCGAGAACATTCTCGTTTTCAGAGTTTCGATCCTTTGGTCGCCAATGCTGAACAAAAGGAACGAGAAGTCTCTCCTGGCGTTGCGTGACATGAAGAGAGGAGCCCCGGGAGGTGCCAATAAACCCCGTTTGAACTGTGACTTAGCCTACGTAGCAAGCGTTTCCGTGCGGTTTAGGAGCAAACAACGAGGAACGAGAGAGACCGCGCGAAAAATGGCGTAAGTGAAAGAGCGGGGAGGGGGTGGGGAAGAGAGGGAACCTTCCCCTCCCCCTCCCCCCACTTTCATTTTTTCGCTCTTGTTTCATTTCTCGCGCGGCCAAAATCGAGAATCCCGTTCCTCTCTCTTTCTTTGCTCCGAAACCAAACGGAAACGCTTGCTACGCAGGCTAACTGTGACTTAAACATCGTAATAAAAAGCTCTCGTGAGTGACTGCGACCACTTTTGGGATTATCCAACTGGACTTTTCCTAAAGCGACCACTCAGTTAAACAGAGTGTCTAATAAAAGTAAAAGAAATCAGAGACTGTCACACTTCCAGTTTGTATTTGCGCGCTTCGCGCTTAAATCTCGCATTAGTATAAACAGCTTAATCATGGCAGTGAATGCAGTAGATCGTCATCGAATGAATGAATAACTTCTACCACTTTGATCGTGGTTAAGCTTAATACTCTGGAGCTCAATAATTTAAGCCTGTCTGCTGGCGCCCACCGGGCAGGTATAACGTTACGTATTAAACGTGGATGAGGTTCGGAAAATTCCGTCTCCCGCCTCCCCCCCCCCCCCCCCCCCCCCCAACAAAAGAACTATATAAACAGAAACAAACACAAAAAAATATAAAAAAAATGCAAAGACGACACACTACAAACCAGTCGTATATATCCTAATTGAGAAACGAGTACAGAGACT